CTGCTGGGTAAGAGCTGCCGCCGTTCCCCTCCCTCCGCCAGCCGGCGGGCGAGCAGTCCGCCGCCCCCATGGCCTCCCCTAACCGCGCTGCCCTCCCGCAGGGACCGTGGACAAGCACTCGGTGGAGGTCACCAACTGCTTCTCCGTCCCTCACAACGAGTCCGAGGATGAGGTACGGAGCGCGGGAGCGCCTGCTGGCCCCCGGAGGCGGGCGGCCCCGCAGGGGAAAAAAAAACCCCCCCGGGCTGGGCGGTAAAGCGGGGCCGTGGGTCCCTCGGCGGGGCGGCGACTGCCGAGGGGTGCGGCCCCGTGCTTCCCTGCGGCCCCTCTGATGGCGGCGCTAGCGCTTGTGCCCGTGTTGTCCTCCGCTAAGGGCCGAGCATCCCTGTAACCAGCTGAGTTGGTCCTGTCCCATTTCTCAGGTGGCAGTCGATATGGAATTTGCCAAAAACATGTATGAGTTGCACAAGAAGGTGTCTCCCAGCGAGATCATCTTGGGCTGGTAAGTCCTCATTCTGCAAGAACATGCAAGCAGTTGTGTTGGTCCCTTAAACGACTTGAGATACATAATTCTTGTCACAGGTTGAGTAGAGGAAGCACTAAGGCTCGTGACAGTAGGATCTTGCAGCTCTTATTATAGAGTCAGTTGTAAAGCTCCTGCAGTTCCTAATAGGAAGAGACAGTGTTGAAGATTTAGAGGGTTTGTTTTTGTTTATATCTAGCAAAGGTATCACAGAGGAGGGATGAGTTAGAGAATGCTTGCATGGCTTTGTCAGAAGACCTTGCCACCTGTAATACCACCTGCACCATGGAAGGTAACTGGATAGAAAGAAAGGAGAACACAAAAGAGTAGCTTCAAGTACCAAAAACCTTGGGAGGAATCAGTGATACCAGCTTGAGCATGCAGAAGTTCTCTGCTGAGAAAAGGTGGAGGTACTTGTGCGGGGGATGTCAAGCCAAATCAGTAGGGTGTCAGTGGGAACAGAGCCTGTGTCTGAGTGTGTGGATAGCTTTAGTAGTCTTTTCATGCTTCTCTGATCCTACAAAATAGCTTAGTTCTGTTTCTGTGGAGCAAGCTTCCTCAACGACCTTCTAATGGCACAGCAAAGTGCTGTTCTAATGACAGGAGTTTTCCTGCGTACATGAGAAGCTAATTGCAGAGCAGTTAAAGGAGCTAGATTAACGAGTTATACCTCCTGCAGAGAGATGTTTGATTTGTGGCAGATCTACTTGGTTGGTCCAAATTTGTTTGGCATGCTTTGACTTACACAGAAATAAAGAGTTGGTCCAGAACATGGTGATAGATAACAGTCTTCGGCATCTGATATCAACTGTGGCAACTCTTCATGGCTGGTACTACAGCACCGGCCCTGTGCATGTTTTGGGCATGGGTGTGCTCAGCCTGTGATTCCTACAATTCTAGGACAGCCGGCCATAAACCTACAAATTCCATAGTTAAAACACTTGTATTTAGTGTGCTTCTGCAGCTCAGCATTTGGAAATCAGTATTTTGGGATACAAACATGTTAAATACCAACAATACCAACCACTGGCCATTTGATGTTGGAAGAATGGCTCCTCAACCTGTGCTCTTTTGAAGGTATGCAACAGGTCATGACATCACGGAACACTCTGTCCTGATCCACGAGTATTACAGCCGGGAAGCGCACAATCCCATCCACCTCACTGTGGACACGAGTCTCCAGAATTCACGCATGAGCATTAAAGCCTATGTCAGGTACTCTGGGAGGCTGCCTTTCTGGGAGGGAAGCTATCTGAATTACTGCAGGAGACCACATCACAGTGACAAGAAATGTAGTCAGCTGGAGTGTCCCATTTTGGACAATATTGTGCAGTAGCTAAAACACAGCAGTGAGCCAGGGATCATGGCTTAATTCTCATTGGAATGTCTTGACCATTGTATGTAAGTTGAAAGACCTAACCTTTCATAAGCTGGTACCTTCTTGGGGTGGGGAATTGTGACATAATTCAGTGTCTTGAACATCTTTGTGACATTTCACAGAATTCATATAGCTAGCATTAATGTCACTAAATTCCACCACACTGTCTGAGTGCCAGCCTGTAGTCATTGGGATCTATTGCTCAGCAGTTTGTTTATTAGGATTAGTGCCATTAAAACATAATTGAAACAGCATCTTCTTGATGAATCTTTCTTTCCCTTACTCACTTCCATTTTTATCAATTAATAATGGAGATTAAATATTGAGAAATGAAACTATTCCACCTCACTGTTCTTCCCAGTACTGGCTGAAGGGCTCTCCTCTTTAAGGAAAAACCCCAGCCTTTCTTTGTAGCTTCTTGACTCTGCATCTTCAAAAAGGAAGCTGTTCCATGACATCTTACTTAAAGCATAAGCAGACATTGAATAATAGGAATAATAAAAGTGTTGAGAGTGCTTTGTACTTGAATTTCTGTCACATTTATGTTTGTTCCTTAAGTGATTTCGCAAAGTATAGAGTATTTCAGGATAGAACACCTGCTCTATAACGAAGAAGGAACTGTGGCTAAGAAGATAGTACTTAGCTCTTCATGCATTCACGGTGACAAATGACAGACCAGCTAGGAATAAACTTGGATGAAAATGAGCAATTAATAGTATGCCAGGATTGGTTTCCTGTCCTCAGTTATCCATGGTCTTAATACTGCTGATTTTGGTGAGAATGAGTGACCTACTCATGTTCACACTTCAGCGCTAACAGAGATCATTGAGATGGAAATCTATTACTTCCTACCTTAAATATGTCCATGCTGAAAACGTTTTGGTGTTGTTCTTTTTTTTTTTTTTTTTTTTTTTTTAGTGCCCCAATGGGAGTCCCTGGTAAAACTATGGGCGTGATGTTCACACCTCTAACAGTGAAATATGTATATTATGATACAGAGCGGATAGGAGGTGAATGTTTTCTTCCTATTTTGGTTGTAACCATTGTTGTGACACTGTTCGATTGTTTTTTTTACCCTGGTAAAATTGCCGTTCTGGGAATTCTACTGGGAATTAGACTGCTTTGCTGAAGCTATCCTAAAATTCTTTAACAAGTTAAAGATTTAAACTGTTTGCTGTGGTAGTTGTTTTTTTTCACTGATCCTCCTTTTACTTTCAGTGGACCTTATCATGAAGACTTGTTTTAGCCCTAATCGAGTAATTGGCTTGTCCAGTGACTTACAGCAGGTGGGGTCAGCGTCAGCCAGGATTCAGGATACCCTGACGATGGTGCTGCAGTATGCAGAGGATGTATTGGTAAGGCCAGCTTTTTATGAGCCAGCAAATAAGTTTGATGTAAGCTTGTGCATCTTGTTTTTCTTTTTACATATTCTTTTTCTGGTCCATAAACTTACTGAGCTTTACTAATGATGAAGTGTGTTTCTTATGCTTAGTCTGGCAAAGTGGCTGCTGACAACACTGTCGGGCGTTTCCTGATGGATCTTATTAACCAGGTGCCAAAGATTTCACCAGAGGACTTTGAGACAATGTTGAACAGCAATATCAATGTAAGTTCATCATCTAATTTTTTCAGTGTATTGACAGCAATTTTGAAAATTTGTCATACAGACACAAATTTGTCTGTGATCAAAACAATCTATTTTCATACAAACATGTTACTAGAAAATACAGCCCTTTTTCATTAGTAAGTTGACATTTTAAGAGCTGAAGGTGGATAAAGGAGCTCACCATAATAATCTTGCAAGCAACTGCAAATGAGAGAATAAGTTTTAAAGTACTTAGGCATTATGCAAGTCATCTGAAAGCCAGCACCAATTCTTCCAGAGCGATTGGACAATGTGAATTACCATGCGTAAAGCAGTACGGATTTCAAGGATGACTGGTGACTTGCCAGCTTCCTTTGCCTGAGCTGAAGTTCTGTCTCCTTGCGTAACACTTAGCACATGAACAAGGTTTTAGTGTACTACCTTATTTCTGTAACAGATTTTTAGAAAGCGAAAGCGAAGTTACTGAATGTGGTGTTCACCCGCAGTCTGCAAGACCAGAACTAATTTTTAATTTTGCTTATACCCTTTGACATGCCTGGTTAACATGGGTGAACTCAGAGTTAAAATTTCACAAGCTGTGTTTCATATTCTGGGAATACCAAAACCTTCTTCCTGCAAGGGAAGCATTCCTCAGGGTAAGACTTTCAGGAATAACAACGTTTCTAGTAGCTGACTGTAAACTGCTTTATAGGTCTTAAAAAATTCAACTTCCTAATAGGCTACCATCTCTTAATATTTCTGATCACTGGGTTTTTCCCCCCTCTCAGGACCTACTGATGGTAACCTACTTGGCAAACCTCACACAGTCACAGATTGCTCTCAACGAAAAGCTTCTGAGTTTATAAAGAACCTTCTGCCACCCTACACTTCAAAGAGCCTGAAGAATGAGAAGATACATTTTTTTATGGTGTTGTAACAAATTTCCTTGGACCATAATTTAATTACTTAGATTATGTGGATTACATCTTTATTTCCATTGCCCTGAAAAATCCCTAACAGGGTTTAGGAAGTGAATGGGAACGGCTGCCGTTTAGCTGAGCCCAGTATTTTAAAGTGAATATGTGACACTTGTCTCCTGGGTTTATCTACTTGTGTAACAAAATACAGCTTTATTGTAAGAATGTATTTGAAATAAAAGTTCAGTGCTATGGCAAGAACGGCCTCTGTCCAGAAAAAAAACTGCTCTCATTTATTGTATAATGAATCCACTTTTGAAAGAAAGGGGGAATAACATGGCATCAGGAAAGAAAACTAGAGTGAATGCAAGTCAGCTCCAGTTCTGCAGACTTCTTTGCAGGTTTTTTTCTCCAGCTGTTAAAGCATGCTGAAAGTGTGGCTTCTTGTGTTGCACATAGTAGACTTTTCCATGGAAGACTCCAGAATGGTCACTGGTTTATTTGTGGTGTTGTGTATATGCCCTGCTTCAGTAGGGTACTGGCAGAGTATGAGACAGCAAATTCAGTTTACATTATGGTATCATTTCTACGCATATCTGATCCTTTGGGAAAGGAAACCAAGGCCAATAAGCATTATCCCCTCATAAAGTGGGGGTTCAGAGAATTAACTAGCAACTGAGTTCATGGTTAAAAGGGCTTGAAAAGCGCTTGTGGCTGAACAAGTGTGGCTACTGGAGTTTTCATCTTTGCAAAAGAGGAAAAGCACAGCAAAACTACACTTCATGAAGCTTTGAGTTTAAAAGTTCGGTGTCATCAAATAGGAATTCTGCTCCATGACCCTGTACTGCTGCTAAAATTACATGAATGGAGACTTCCCGTTTTCTCCACAAAACCTTGTTCCATGTTAAATGAGTTCTAGCTGAAAGACGGCCAATACCAATCCGAGCTGTAACTTTTTACAGTCTTGGCCAGTTACATTACCTTTAGAAGTCTCTTCAACTGTAATGAAGAGGGTTTGCCTGATAGAGTAAAAGTCCCTCTTCTACAGCAACTGTTTCCACCTAATGACTAGTTGTGATGCCTCGCACCTGTTTCAGTAAATGGATTTGAAATGTTAGAGAAGCCTGCAAAGCCAGTGCTCCCCAAAATAATTTTGTGCTCATTTGCCAGATAAATCCAAGAATGGGACTCAGCTTACAGATCTGTACATCCTGTACTGGTTGTTCCAATCTGGAGAATTCCCCCAGTGACTCAATGCTAAATTCTAATTGCAAGGACAAGGTACGTGAGACCGATTCCCATGTCTTTGAAAATGTTACTCGTGGGCATTAAGTGTTAAAACTTGGCTCGTATTTTTTATTAGGCTGAATCTGTGTTGTTTTCCCTTCTCTTCATAACCAGCCATTTACCATTTCACAAATTTTAAGGTCAAGGTGTATTTTAAAGTAAGCCTTGAAATAGGTGGA